CACGCAACATGGTGTTCGAGAATGGAATCCATTGTTGAACCGCGACAAGAAGGATCAAGCACGTCCGCAAGGGTGAGCAACACCAATGTAAAGACGTCCTTTGGCCAAGACATACTCCAGAAGACTGAAATTATTGACGTGTCACTCATCTCAGTGCCGTCGACTTCGGGGGTCTTAATAGTGATATATCAAATACCGCATTAACCCAACAATTCTTGTCGTTTTGTGTTGACTTTGTCTTAAAATAATATATCTTGGAGAACAACCATTGAAGCTGAGGCACTTGAGCAGTCAACTAGATTGCCGTCAACACTCGTTCACAGTAATAGTGAGCGGTGTATCAAATTCTCCTCCATCCCAGATTGTTTATTCTCCTACAGTTGAACTATTCAAATCATAGCTTGATAAAGCAATGAAACACTTGACAATTTAGCATCTGCGAATGGTCATGCATATTATTATTATTATTATTTTCCTCTTGTGAAGTTGTCCAAAATATTCTGTAAAAATCCAATGAAACATAATAAACGTTAGCTTTTTAAATCGCCCATAATGAAACGTTGAACTTGGACTTTCGACATTCTCTATTGTCCGGTGATACCGTTTTGAAGGGGCACGGAACAGTTATCACCTAGTTTGTTACCCCTGTGTAGGAGAGGAAGGTGTTGCGCAATGAAAAAATATTGCATGAGTTAGAATTCACACGCAAGTTCAACGGCTTGTTATTATGTGATCAGATGTCTGTTTAACCTACACGATTATGTGAATAATAATCATGTTTAGGAACGATGTGCTTGTGGAGAAATATGATATTTTGTCCGAAATAGATGGGTTGCAGAGAAGCTTTAGTTCAACGCATATTGCGTACATTAGGGAAAAGCCCACAATGTATGTCTGCGTTGTTTATAAACAAGCGTACCAAGTGCAGTACCACTAACAAATTGTTAGAATAAAAGGTGTCACATCGGCTGGTAATCAAGAGATTTTAGTGCAGTTGTCCACCTCGACGAGAAGCTAAGTATCATCTACCAAGTTTCACAGATTGAAAAGATTAGGCGAAAGCACCGATCAAAAATAAGTGAATGTGTGAAATTGTGATACATTTATCGTTATGTATATTTTAGGAGTCTGGGTTATCTGTCTGCATTTCTTTATTGACCTGAGGTTCCTGGTCGCTGATCAGAAGATGGTTACTTGTTAATACTTGAATCTGTCTCAACCGGTGAGTGTGAATCGGAAGAGATAGATCACTAAGCGAATTATCGGATGCGTCATATATGAATATCAATTACATATCACATGGTTTCAGTGGATGTAAAATTGATTGTGTTAGAGGTCGTTCGGAGAATACAAATGTGAACATTCTTGTGGTGTAATAATGTGCTCGATTTTACAGAGCTTTTTTGTTCATACTGGCAGTAACTCAGTGCAGGACAAAATTTTGCAACCAAGATATTGTGCCATCATTAACTTATCCAGTTCCTTTGTTAAAAGCGCGATCATGGGTCATCTCGTTGATACCGGTCACAAGATCGAACCAGGGAAAACTTTCGATGTTCTTTATCACATTTCACTCAACCGATCCAGGGGGAGTCGAGTTTGGACACTTCCCATGGCCGAGGCTATTGCTGTTCGCCTACTATGCCCACACCGGTGTGCCTAAAAAGACTTGTTCAAGCTCTTCAATTGCCTTGGCCTGGTGTCAAAACCGAGACAGGACGTTCACCTTAGCCCAAGTGAGAAGGGGTCGCATCAACTAACACTAAGCGCTTCACACAGACACGCACATTCTGCGATTAATTACCTTACATAGAGCCAACGGCTGTCACTATGCAAGCACTTTTTCCTTGTATGATATGTAGAAACATGAATAGAAGTATCCACAAAAGAATATTCGCTAACCAATTTGTTTTCTCAATGCAATTTATTCGTCTAAAACCACAAGTGGTAACTTGGAACAAAAGTAGTCATTTTCAGTGTAAAGTCAATTACAGCAGCAGCTGAATACTTTACTGCAGCATGCGGTAAAATGTATGAAATCGTAGGCTGATTAAGATGACATTGAAAATGCTTCCGAGAATGTAGGACGAGTTTGTGTAGCTTCGAAATATATAAACAAAGAAGTACATATAAGGTTTCTTCTTCGCGGCTTCTCGCTGTTGTGAACGTGCTGAAAGATAAGGGACCAATGTATATCTCAGCGAACGAACAAAGATTTGAGACCACCAAACTCAAACAGTAAAGAAATGAAAAGTTTGAAATAATAAAGCATTGTATTATATTCTATTGTAATGACTCGTGCAAGCAACTATTCCTACATTTGAATCAAAAATGGTCCACATTTAAAAAGGGATAAAAAGATAAAGAAAGTCATATTCAGCAGTGATCAAACATTTTTGTAGAGTAAAAATTAATTATTTTGGGATTTTCTTCTTGTTATTCAATATACGAGTCGAATAATGTGCTTTTGAATTACAATAAATGCTTTCTCGGGAATAGAAGCAGTAATAATTGAATGCAGTTGAAGCATGGAAACGGCAAGTAGATAGGTCGGGATTGAGCGGGTAACTAGGGTCGTTAGGTATTTTATGGGCAAAACTATCACATGAGGTAATCTAAAAATCACACACTTGTGGTTATTGTTCACGGCAATGAAAAAACATGTCTGCCAATTATCAAACCGTGGCGAGGAGCAACGGGATTCATTTTAGGTAGATCAGGGAAAATAATGAGCGAACTTCAAATAAATACAGGACAAATTCCCTGATAAACAAGAGAACATATTTGAATACTTCACTCTAAATTGTTGTATTTGCATATGTGTTGGCATACATGCTTACATTTCAGTAGCTTGTGTATCTGGAAGGATAAGCGAAGCCGTCTGATAACACAGGAGGACCAGCCTGAACTGCTCTCTATGGTTACTCGTAGTTATTTGGTGGTGTGCTCTGACAATCTGTACGGAATTAATGACCGAGGGTTACAAGTTATACTCAGATCGGGAAAATCCAAGTCTTAGCTGGTTTGATAGAAGGTCAGTCACTGATAAGTATTGAAAATAAGTATGGACAAAACACAGCAGCCTGAAGAAATCCAGAATAGCTCACTAACAGTTTTGAAATGCCCCCGCTTGTTTTCCTTCTTTGAATCTTTCCTGTGAGCTAGTCTTTCCAACACGACAGCAAAGTGATGGAGCAAATGATTGACTGTAACTTCCGGAGAAGAAAGGATCCTGTAACGGAGGGATAACCAGAAAAACACAACAAACTGATTTTTGGGAATAGTCTAAGCATTTACAACAAGAGTGCATTAGTAAGGAAAGTGTCTAACGTTCCTCTACAGGTGAATTGAAGTGTGCGATTGGGGGCATGTATACCTACCACAAGCGGGTGAGAACTAGTTTAGTTTCAGATGAAGTTATAGGGATGGGAAAAAGACGTTTGGATAAAATACTAGATGAAAATGATATAAGAGGTGAAACAATGGTAAATGGTCTCCATGTCTATATGGGTTTGCTGACAACAGGCGTGAAAATCTTTGTGAGTGAACCAGGACCATGTTTAAGCATGGGCGAAGACAAATCACCTGGGTCCACTGCAGTCGTGATCTTCGTAATTTTAAGAAGATAGACCACCTCGTGGCTGACAGGGTCTATGGTAGACAGACAATCCGTGGGTTATAGTCACAGAATATCGTTTGCATGATAAATGCATGCATAGTTAATTGTTGTAAGAACTGAACTGAATTGCATGCAGCATAAATGCCGTCCACGTCAATTGTTTTTTAGTTAACCGTTCCTTCTGTCCACACAGCAATGCAATTCCTAGCCACAACCGCCCTCCATCTCCAGCTCTCAGAACTTGCTTTTCAATCTTTTGATAACCGCCCTGATTTGCAGAGTAAACCTTTAACCTGACATATGGGACAGCGGCCGCACCTTCAGAAAAAACATTACTATGGTTAATAATGACCTTGTTTAGTACAACATCGCTTTTGAAAGGTGAGAGAGAGATCTGTTAGGTCGGAAGAAAGTAAAGGTTAGATTGATCCATTGAAAATTAACTTATCCTCAACTAGAGAAGCAATGAGAGCAATGAATACATCATAAATGCGGCCGATGTTGATTTGTCAACAAAAAGGAGCAGTGTACGGATTGGTAATTATTGTGCTCCGATAAGACGAAAACCTAGGCCGACATGAGAAAGTGCGGCGGTTGATGCCATCACAAGAAAAGATAAAATTTCGATTTTCCACAACAACTGAAATTTATGTGGATTTTTATCCCACCTCCGTTCTTCCTCCCGCTACTGCATCTGTCATGTCGAAAAATTCCGAAACCATGTAGGTTGACTAGCAAATTCTCTATGTTTTGGTTAAACTATGAATCCTGTTTGCATACTACAGACGTGTTTGTGTGTTTGCGCTAAGTTAGTAGATCGTTATGATCAGCCAATCTGCTAAAGAGCGAAAGAACATTACAACTGATCGCTGAGGGAACAGTCATCTTCACAACAGGCATGTGTGCAAGCGCATTCTGCTGCCCGGAACGCTTACTTTTTTGTTTCACCCAGAAATTCTAGGGAGGGTGGAATCCTGTGAGTTAGATGACAGAAAAGTGGCGTGTCCATCCTTTAATCGCAGTAATAATAATTCCATGGCATATGGAAGCCGCGAGAACATGTTGGAAACCGAACATTTCGATTGTTCAATTCCAATAAACTTCGCTGACTGTTTTCAGTATTATTCCATTTCGAAGCCAGGTTACAGTGCGACAGCAGAATGAACTTTTCTTCAATCTGATAATTTGCTTATCCAAAAGAAAATGAGATTCATTATGTTATTTTTGACTGTTACAATTCAATAATAATTTGATTGATGATGAACTATGTGAAGATCTCGGCAACTTTAGTGACTTCCATTAAACTGTTGTACATTAGCTAATCACGTGAGATTCCGTAGGCCATATGCCTACAAGCTAATCTTACATTCATTCCATTTAGTTGGCAGAGGTTCAGATAGGTGACCTCGTCGATCCCAAAACAGCGTTCGAATTTTTACCCGCTGCATTCCGACTTGGTCGTGAACAACTGAAATCCGATTTGTTGGAGTACATTGAGGATTATAGTTCGGTAGGTTGAATTCAGATGGCTTGTATACGCACTTTCTAGTTTTGTATTTTGAGATGCAGACCTTTTGTATTGTACTTTGCGTGTATGTTCTTATGACTATTATTCGCAAACCACAACTGAGATACGAGGTTGCAAAATGTATTACATCACGTAGTACAATACAATAGTATTGTATTGTATTGGACCTTCAGCGAGTTTTATAAAAGCTTTCATTGAAAAAGAAACCACCGTCACAATACTGACGAAGAAGGGGAAAATTGGGACAAGCAGCGTGCAAAACTGTGAACTAACTATCAAATGTGGTAGAAAGCTCAGAAAGAGTACTCTCCTGGTCGTTCAGTGTCTGGGCGAGATGGGGTATCAAGGAGTTTCTGTAGGCAGACATCCAAAACAGGGCGAGTTTGCATTCAGAACACTTGAAGAGGTGAAATTTTCATGCACATAGGGCATTGTGTAAATGATGGATGGAATCAAATACAATGTTTTAAGCGCACTTCAAGCACGCATCAATATGAGCATTAGCCCAAATTGTCATTCAGAATAGATATTAAAACCGGGGAAACACGGCTGATCATCGAGAGACCACGCTCAGTAACTTGAAACCAGTCTGTAGCAAACCAGGGAAAATCACAGGGAGCAGTTAGGCTTCTATCGCCGACAAATCGGAACATAGGTATTGCATTCTTCACATCGGAAAGGAGAGAAGTTTCAGTTTGCGAAAGATAGCTTGGGTACATAAAGGATAGTGAAGTTTGCTTACAAGTATGACACCTGAGTACTTCACATGGCTGACCCTACTCATCGGCTTTTCCTGAATGTGTACATTGTTGGAGGAAGATAGGGAACTGTTTCGAGTGTTTCGGGTCTAAGGTTAAGCCCGAAAAAATGGAATACGTAACGAGCTGTGATAAATGTGTTATAAGCATCCAGTTCTGATTGATTAGATAGAGGAATAGAAATATCACTATCATCAGCATACTTAAAGTGTCCTACAGGGTGAGTAATGGGTAAGTCACTATTACTAGTACCGAAAAGAGAGGTTGAAGCAAATCCGAAATATCGAGTGACACCGTTAACATACTGATGTATTCTCGAAAAGTACTCACCGAGCCATTCACGATGAGAAGTGGGATAACCAAACGATTGGAGCTTGTTAAGTAAAAGAGACCGGGTTACCCAGTCAAAAACTGAAGAAAAGGTAAGAAATGCACAGTGCACATATTTGGCTAGCTCATTCAGGGACTTGCCGATGAATTGAACTAGATAAGAAGCGGACTGATAAATATCATCGGGGTGGTGAGAGTTAGTCGAATGGGGTACGGAACTGACCACTCCATCAATTTAAACCCGATGAAAGTGAGACCAGTCGGCCTGAACCGTTTCGCCATTGGGGTCTTTGCTTTTCCTTTGGGGATGGGTACAATTCTTACCGGGTACCAGCATTGCGGAATAGTTCGGAATCCGAGTCCATCATTAGCTATATGTGCAAGAATGTGAGACAGTGGCACAGTAATATATTGAAGAAGTTTAGGACTTAATTTGGGTGGGCCAGGCGCGGTCAACATCCTGAGAGAACGCGTGTTTATACATATCACTAGAGGTAATAGGTTCAAACGAAGATTGGATGTTTAGAGAATGGAAGTCATTATAACCGGAACATGTCTCAGGCGAAGAATGAATGAATGTAGCGTTCTATTGTGCAATATCGATAGAAGTAGAGGATTTGATTTCATTTTCAGTGGTGATATTGTCGTGTATGGAGCAAATAAAACGCGATCTGAAAATCTAAGAAGCACTTTGCTGCTGTTCCAACCTGGTTGGATCCTATCGGTAGTGCTACTTCATCTACCCAACTGGGGATTTAACCCGGGGCTTCACTGGCAGAACGCAAGCATATTACCCACTCCGCCACCCGAAAGTTGTTAGATCGTTTTCCGTTTTCCAGTTGCACGATATATATTGTGCAACGTAAAAGGTGAAGTTTTAGTGACTTTATTTTCTGTAAATGTGTAACTAGAGTTATTGATAATATTGAGGTGCTGTGGAATTTTTCAGTTTTTGTTTGGATGAGTCTGTTCAAAAGATCTTTGAAGCCGAAAACCACAATACAAGACTATGTGCAGTGTAAGCCAGATGGGTACATTCGAACAAAACAAAATACAAGTTATTGTAATACTTATATCTGTTTTTTTCTATTGAAAGCATCAAAATAGTATTTTGTTAGAAAATACAGAAAGGTTGTTTCACCTTTATGACGCACAACTATGTCTGTTTTTTTTATCATAAACGTGCGCAGAGTCTACTAACAACTACGAACGATGACATTTTGCTCCTCAACCCGACAGCAATGAAAGCTATTTTGGAAAGCGACCAGCTTGATTTAGATGAAACTCGTGTTGTAGAAGTGGCTTGCTATTGGGCGGAGCATTACTTAGCACGAGCACGTGAAAATTGTATCAATGCTGAACGTGACAATGCTCGGGCGTCCATCATTAAATTTCGGCCTTCGATTGAAGACAGCTCATCAAATTCGTCAGATATTCCAGTTCTTGGCTCGCATCGGGAAAATAACGACTTATGCAAAAAGTCTGTCTATTTGCATGAGGCGCTTGATGAAGTGGCCGATACCCTATCCTCTCTCAGACTGGCACTTATACCACCCATCGAGCTGTTGCGTCTAGAGGAAGAATATGGCGGAAAAGGGACCATTCCGGTACGTATATTCTTTTCACTTATCATGGTTTTTCAGAAAATGCAAAACCTTATTCTCAAAGAATTAATTTCGTTAGAGAATCGATTGTAATAATGTACCACTTTTTGCCTAATTTAAATAAATTATAAATAAAGAATTTAATTTCATGGCCTATTGTATGATTGATACAAAATATGTTTTGCAATAAACCTCGATTGCAGTTCATTTGTGAGGTCATTGAAACTTCTGCTTAGCAATTTAGGATCACACATTAAAAGTAGTCGTAAATATAAAATATTCACCTCAATATTTCATGAATTACCAGAAAAATGCTTACTTATAGTACAATAATTTTGTTTGCCTCAGTCATGCAAATTGATCCGGAATTCGCAGTCACCGACCGTACCGACGGTTTGTTTCCTGTGAAAAATTCCGGTTTGATAATGCAATGAATAAAAAAAACTTTATCGAAAAAAACTTGCTTAGATTGCTTCGTCTTCTCTTGCTATTGCATCACAAATAAAATGATGAATGGTAATTTCATGCACAGAAATGAGGTAGACTTTTAAAACTTATATTTAAGTCTCCTGTTCCCGGTTTGGTTTCCATACATCAGACGTGACGCAAATCAGCATGAATGAAGGAAACACGGTGAGTGAAAGGCGTTGGGATAAACAATGGCCCTACGTGTTTAATTTGAGATAAAAAGTTTCATCAATACCGACAAGTTGTTTCCATGTCCTCAAGGAATGTGTGCAAACGCATATTCCTGCGGTGACCAGGACGGGATGTTCAGTCTGCTTAAAATGTTTTTCACGGATGTGTTGCAGATGCAAAAAGTGACCTGACCAATATTACATTACTTGAGGTGATTGGGACAGCTTATTTCATTCTGACTGTCACTGTGTCGTGCGTTTGTTATATGGGGATTCAAATGAACTGAATAAAAATGCGTTTCTTGTTACTGCAAACCTTGGAGCTTGTCTCCCCACCCCAAGACAAGAAGGATTTGAACACGACTGATGTTCCTACTACTGGTGATCTAATACCTGTGATTCTGACCAAGGACTACACATCGATAATCCTGTTCCACTGTGCTTAGTTGCTTTAAAAAACAATAAATTATGCAGGCAAAGAATGACAGATTCACTTCAATTCAAACCTTTGGTTTTTGTACCATGGTTTTTCTTCTTTGATGCTAGTTTTTGGACAGATTTTGTAAGTTTATCATGGTACTTTTAATCATCAATCGGTAAGGTAAAATACCTACGAAATCCTCATTCTAGGAAGAATGCTTCATAAACGCGTGGCGAATTTTGGCCACCCAGGGACCAAACGTATCAACGGAAGAGAAGAAAATAACTGTTCAGCCCAGAAAAGGAACGGTTACCAGAGTTCAGAGGCGCAAGTCTTATGCTGATCCACTGTTAGCAGCAAGACGCAGCAAATCTTCCGCCGTTCGTATATCGGACGTGAATGTGAACCGGGCATTCGGCCATTGATGGTTAATGCTGCGCGTCAAGAACACAATATGTAACCTCTAAATCTTCCTGTAATAACAGATGAGCTGAAACTTCAATAAACCGATTGAAGTGCTCCAAAAGTCGTATTCAATTCACAACCTTTTTCCTTAATTTAACGATATTAATTTCAAACCGTCATACGTGCGAGAGGAAGGTACGTTGTAATAGTTTGTAGATGACTATACTGTAACCTGACTCACTGCCACGCCTGATCTCTGGAGGCTTTATGTGGTCCAGCACTTCAAGTCTCAGTTTCTCTCTCATAATATGAATATGAATGCGAAAAATGTTCTTCGTTCTCTCGATCGCTATACTCACTCGCAAAGTCACATTGATTGAATGAAAAAACACTTTATGCAGTCAAAGAGTAAACTTTCTGCAATTTATATTTGATATATAAAGTAGTAATAATATAATATATATTAATATACTTGTGATAAAAATAACAGAAAATGAATTCGATAATGCAGTAAAAGAAAACCATTTATTGCGAAAGTCTCCTCTTTAAGTGGGTGACAGTTGTCTTATGAGTAGCTAATTGAGTACGTAGTTACACTGTTTCTGTATGTGGAATTACGCGCAGGCAGGATCTGATTTTGAAATGAGTTCAGGAATTTGATACGGCAACGAGGACTTCGGAATGCATACGGTGCCCTCCTTGATCACGCGTTATTCTCCGAATGAACCTATCCCGGGCGTCGATATGCTTTGCAATAAAAAAACTCAACCAAAATCTCTGCTAATTTCACTGTAGCGGGGAAAAAGTTTAATGGATCTAGAGAACAAGATGACATATATTTTATTATTTTAAACTAGGGTAAAGTATCGAGAAGCGGTATAATCAGTGTGGAAGGATGCATGCAATTACGAATTTAGGAATAAGGTTATGTAAAACTGCCATTTTTTAGAGTCCCTAGGCACAACGTCAAAGGAAACATAAACTCATTATTCTCACCAACATTCATGGGCTGAATCGCAACATTGATTCTGTATACTGATTTCCTCTTTTTGCTTCTCGGCCACTCGACTTTGGTGGTATTCAGTTTTGCTGTCGTCCGGTTCAATACCACGACTAACCTAGCGGGACCTAATGTAGTCCACCACTCCAAGTCCCGGAGCTTAGGTTACCGATTTCCACCACTGAACAGCAGGTCTTTGTGACTATGGAATTCGCCCCGTATGCTGTTCATCACAGTTAGGTGTGTAATAAAACGGACGTATTTCCCGCAATTTCCGTCCTTCCAACTTGCCCCTGTCTGTGATTCCTCTGGTGATTTTTATACAAGCCACACTGAAAATCTCATGGTTTTGCTTCTTGGTTTGCGACCAAATTCACCTTACCCATCTTTCCTAGTCTCCCAGCTTCTCTTTGATCTCATGTTACTGTCTGGGGCGGTGGTGATTTGGTGGTAACGTCACCCAGTTGTCNTTTCCCCATTATGTGTTGAATGGCAACTCGTTTGCTGGCCACTTCCTCCTTCCTGAAAATTGTACCTTTGTATACACAATAAAAGGAAGTAAAAATGAAGAAATAAAAGAAGGAAGGCCCGCCAAATGCTGCGCTCTGTGACGGTATGTAAAATACTTGAACAGAATGGCCTACCGCCGATCTCCCTCAGATTGTGGGATTCCAATTTATCTCGTGTCACGTGGTATTTTTGCCTTACTGTCTATTTTTCTACCTTTCTAACATCTTGAAACCTTGCCGTGATTTTTCTCATCCCACAAGCGGCACTCTTCTCACCCCAATAATTAGACTCATTTACCTCCCAACTATTCTTTCGAAAGTTTTTGCCGCCTTCATCTCCGCCCGATTGCATGCGTTCCTAGAATGTGAAGGACTACTGGGCGACTGCCAGAGTACTTTCCGACACCATCGTTCTAACCGGTGCTCGGCTGGCTCTTTTCTCACAACCCTAGTTAGCTTGTTTAATTGTCTTGAGTAAATTTAGCGATGGCAGTCTATAAGACTATTACATTAGGTCTATATGCGATATTATACAATTCATAATTTTGTTTTATTACTCGACAAATACGATGAATATTAAAGAGGAAATTGTATTATGATAGAGACTAGTGTACAATTAAAAGCTTATCGAAAGTATAAGTACTAACTTCCCGGGGTTAGTATTTAATCGGAAGAGTTCGACATTTGACTATTGAATGGAAGTTAGTAATGATGGATTATGATTAAAATTTCTTCAATTATTGTCTATGAACTGTGAAACGAGTTTTAATTTTTAGTGACTGCTGGAAAATTTCAAAGCTATACAATAGTATTGAAGATTGTGCTAACTGTTCCTCTCGCAACCAATTGGCGGAAAATGTAAAGACTCAGATTTCTATCTTACTGAGTTGTTGGTGCGCCCAGCCTAGACGGTATGTATTTGACTTTTCTTAAAAAATAACAGAATAAGTTTGATAAATCTCACAGAAGCTGCTCGAGTTGCTGCTGATATGCACATTGAGCAATTTTTCATAAAAGCGTATTTCTGCATTATCGTCGTAAAATTTGACTAACGATCTCAGGTACCACGATGAATTTAAAGATTGTCTGATGCAATTCACAGTAAGGCTTCTGAATACCCAAGCAGTTGTTCACAGTAATTTTTCTTTGAAATAGAAATAGAAATACCGAAAAATAGCGCTGACGGTTTGATTAAACCGGCCGTGTGAGGATTGAAAAACGTCTTCTGAAATGCACTCTTCATGATCACACAAACAAGTAACTGACACCTAGACTATACGCGGTTCCATCGCTATCTGTCCAAAAAGCACTAATAAAATTATGTGAGGATCGCCCCGGCAAACACGAATATTCTCAATCCAGCAATATAAAATCCTCATCTCATTGAGTGCACATTAACCTTCACTTGCTGATGCTTTCATGGGCTGCTTTTGTAGAACGCCGACATGGGCCGGTTAGAAGCACGCTGTAGATCGTTATAATGTAAAAAAACGATTAGGGATACTAAATGAAAGCAGGTGCATGTGACACTGTTTCAGTCCTAGGTGTTTGTGTATGCTGCAGAAGTTCAAAACTGTGCACAAGTGAAAAATGCATCCTGCTTTTCCATTCCGGGTCAGGCAACTTTCTTGGACTAGTAGCAAACCACTTGTAACCAACACTTTAATCTCCTCTTTCAGATTGCTATCCATGACTAGGCCTGAGTCAATCACTATTTAGAAGTTGGAATGTGTATCGACGTCTGGTCTGTGCGGGTCAGATTCATTCCATTAGCTTGTGCATAGCATTTGTTGTATACTGGCAACTGATTATACCATCAAACATAGCAGAGAAAACGTGTACTATTTCCTAGTTGAAAACAATCTTAGTTTCGTTAGTAACGTAACTACCAAAACAAAAGGAAACTGGAAAGAATACCGCACAGACTGATTTATTGGTCATTCCATCAGTGTAAATGACCTGAATGTGCGCTTTAAAAGGATTGCTGTGATAATAAGATTCCGTGATGAAATGAACGCGGTGCCCACGTCAGAAGACAAAATGTTTTCACTCAGTGAACAAATTTAGAGAAATAAACCGGTAAAACAGTGCAAGCCGTTCGGGTATGAATGGAGACGAACAAAACTAGAAAAATATTTGACAGCACCTTACTACTTGATCAGGCGGATGATTAGCAGCCACAGCACGTGGCTGCCGATAAGGTTATAGTCATGGATGTGGCTACGGCTTTTTGAGTGTAACTTTCATTAAAAATATTAGGATTCCCTTAAAAACAAGTGGTAATTGGTATCCGAAACTTAATTAATGCAACCCTTTTGTTTTTCACGTGGTTTTCGTTTGCGCGCCTACAATACACCCTCTCTACAGTGGAGTCCTTTATACATGGATTTATTACTTTACCTCTACCTTCGGAAATCATTATATTTTGAAATTTCCTTGTGTTACGGTAAAAGTAAAACCTTGATTCACTTGTACTGGAGGAGGTCGGCTGGAATAGAAAAGGAGTAGTAACCAAAATCAAAAGCAGTTCACACGCCCGTTCAATTATGTAGAGCTAGTTTTCTACCCCACTGTTGGATATGAACTTAATCGTGTTTCTAGCTGAATCCTGACACTTTTGGTCAGACTTTGACAATATATATGTACATATACATATATATGTATATATACATATATATAAACATATATATATGTATATATATGTATTTATATACGTATATATATATATATTTACTATAGTGAAATCCCTCCGTATCCTTGTATGTTTACTGCTTCGTTGGATTCAGCTCCAAGAGCGAGACATCGATTGATATAGGTCTATGATTGGATTATTTCAGCACCATTTTTATAGTCAACAACAGATTGCAAACAGCATCTTAATTGTCGCTTTGATTGTTTCAAGTGAATTTTATGGCGTCATTTTTATCCACCATGCAAACAGGCCCCTTTTCAGAGACTCCGTTTTTCTTCCCACTCACTGCTATTCCTTATTCCCTATCACACAGTTCTTAGGGTCATTAAAATAATTATTGAATTCATCCGAGATCTGTGTGCACGTGGAAGGAGCGGGAATGTTGAGTATAATTGTAAGAGGTTGCCAGAATGTGTGGGATTTAACACAGAGTAAGCTAAGGAACGTTTGGATGACTTATTCATAAAGTTAGAGCCATGAGAGGCGATGGCTGATTGGTTGAGTTACTTGCGATTAGTGGTAAATTCGTTAACGTTTGTTTGATGTACAGAAGGCTGAATGAAAACCTTTAAGAGTGACTGTTTTTCACGGTGATCATTATAAAACACTTCCAATGGATTGACCCCGTATTTTGTCTCAGACCTTTTATATTCTTCACGCCATCCATGCAGTCGAGGAATGCGATAATGACATTGACCATATGTATTATACTGAGACATCAAGCGCAACATAGATGTAATAATATCCACTTACATTTTTGCTTCTAATAGTTTATTAGCTTAGACAAGTATGACTTCCTGATTTCAGCAATCTTTCCTA